TCTGTCTGCATTGTCTGACCTATGTGTGTATGACCTTCTGACATGCAGTGTAGAAGGGTTTGTAAGTATTAAAAAACAAAATTAAATTTTTACATTGTGGTTGTGCCTCACTGATGGTAAAACTCAAGCATGTGGATCCTTGGTGGTGGTCTTTTTTCTGGGCCTCTAAATGAAACTCAGTTTCATTTAAAATGGGCATAGATATATTTACCTAAACAGGTAATTACAGTAAAGTGTGATAAAAGTACTTGATAGAATAAATCCAGGGTCTTGATAAAGTACATGGCAGGAGTTACCTAACCTGGCCTATGAGTCACTAAAGACTTTTGGATGTCATAATATCTCATTTAAGACAAAACTAAAATGAAGGTAGAAGTTAGCCAGGTTAAGAGCCGGGGAGCAGAGAACGTTATAGAAAGAGGTTATAGTACTTGCAACAGCACAAAGATAAGTGGGTATCCCTTCATTAGGACTCTAACAGAACTTAGTTGCTGCATAGATCCTGGCTCAGAAGTTGGGATGTGTTGGTTTCTCTCTTCCTGTTTGTAATCATTGAATTGGGTGCCTATCCCAGATCCAGAGTGATAGAGAAGACCTTGTAGTACCCAGAAATTGTGGTGGAAGGCTCTGGTGTCTTCTCTGGAAAAGTGTGTATCTATACACCAAGAAAAGAATACATAGTGGAGGCTAGAGAAAAGTGGAGACTGGAGTGTTTGTGTCCCAGGACCATGAGGCCAGGAAATGGGAAGCCTACAGGAACATAATAGTGGGAGGTCCACTTTTTAGGCTCCACTATGCTCCATTCCTTAATCCCTTCATCACTAGGCTCCTAAGCTACTTGAAGACAATAAAAAGGCAATAAATATTTGAATTACACCTTCAGATTCCTCAAAACTATAGTTGTCTGGGGACCAGCAGTTAGCCTAATGGCTATGTCATTGGATTCCCATGTAGTCGACCGCAGTTCATGTCCTGGACCCTGTGGCTTAAAACTCACACTGGGCGCGTGTGCGTGCATTCCCAAGATCCCAAGAGGAGGAGAATTGCGGGGTGGCCATCACCCCTGGGGGGTGATTTCTTGCTTTCTGTCTCTCTCTGTCTGTCTGGCGAGCGCATGCACCCTATAGCAAAATAAAACAAAACAAAACAAAACTCCAAAAAAAAAAAAAAAAAACCCAAAACTATAGTTGTCTGCTAATTTTTATTTTGGCAGCTTTAATTAACCCATAATTGCTGAGAAGAGTTAATACCTAAGAGAAAGTTTGATACCTCTGCTAAGATGTCTTTCCAGATACTGTAATTTCTGAAGACTTGGTTATCACAGTTGTTGTGGGTAATAGGGGAGATGAAATGGTGGGAGTCTTTGAGTTCAAAGGTTGCACAACTATCACTGAGCAAGTTCAATTAGAAGTCTAAAGGGATCCAGTCCTTTAAATGAATAGTGAGTTGCCTTTATCTATAGGTGACAATTAGATAATTTCATTTTTTTCTTTTCTTGGTTGTGAATTACTTGTAAATGTTAATAACACAGAAAGTGAGAAAGCATAAGTCACCCACAATTCCATTACCCTTAAAAACATTGTTAAAATTTTGAAGTACTATTTCTCTTTTCCCCCAACCCTAATAGTTTTGGTAAAAATCTTATTTAGTAAAGAATTTTGGTAACTAATTTTCACATTTACAATTTGGATATACATTTCAATTGTTTAGTAATAGAAAGTAATGCAAAATTAGGATGATAAAAAAAATTTTTTTGGAGAGGTTTTTGCTGTAGGGTGTGTGTGCTCACCAGAAAGGACAGCGAGATGGAGAGACAGAAGGTGAGAAATCACTCTCAGGGGGGTTGGCCAGACTGCAATCCTTTTTCTTCCATTCTCCTCTCGGGATCTTAGGCACGCAGGCACATGCACCCAGCGTGAGTTTAAACCACTGGGTCCAGGACTCCAACCATGGTCGACTACATGGGACATAGCCGTTACACCAACTGCTGGTCCCAGGGTAATAAAATTTAAGTTTTTTTTTTTTTTTTGAGAGGTTTTTTTGCTATAGGGCATGTGCGCTCGCCAGACAGACAGAGACAGAGAGACAAAAAGCCAGAAATCACCCCCCAGGGGATGGTCACGCCTAAATCCCTTCTCCTCCATTCTCCTCTCGGGATCTTGGGCACGCACGGACATGGGCCCGGCGTGAGTTTTAAGCCACCGGGTCCGGGACGTGAACCATGGTCGACTACGTGGGAGTTCAGCGACATAGCCATTATGCTAACTGCTGGTTCCCATAAAATTTAAGTTTTAAAGTTTTGCTTTAAAATTATTTATTTAAGAACAGGGAGCACAATAACATGAGATATCCTAGTGCTACATCCAGCACAGCTGAAATGTAGGACCCATGTAAACATGAGTGAGTTAACACAAGACAAGGATCTTTAAATGAGGCCAGAGAGCTTGCAGTCTCAGAGGAGTATGGCCCAGACTGGCTGATTCTCCACATATTTATTGAGGAAGAGGGTGCCAGAGAGACAGTAAGCATTTGCTCAAGTTTTTGTAGCTGTTGAGATAGCAGTTAGGACTGCAAGACATGTTTAGGGAACATGCCAAACTCTTGATCTGGCCAATGTGGTCACATATTCCTGTTTCCAAGACAGAGTGATCAAAGTGTTTTGTGTTTTCTTACTCTGATATGTACACAGTAAACATCTCAAGGTATGACTGCTCTGCAACATCCTAGGAGGATGGGGAAGGGGTGATGAGAAGTCAGGGGATTGGTGTTCTCAGTTTCTATTCTTCGGGCAAAAAGTGTCATGAAACCATAACAGCCAGTCTCTAGGACTGCATTTAACAGGCAAAGTCAAAAAACTGAGGAAGCATCTGGGTTTGAGTTGTGGAAAAACAATGGGAGTGAGCTCAAGAAACCTCTTTAAACACGTACACATTTTATGTCCACCAAGATTAGGACGCTTTCTGTCCTTTGGTGGGGAAGTCCTATACATCAGATTTGAATCCTCAGCACCTATCAAAAAGGACTAAACTTAGGCCTGTGGACTGAGCAAGGGCCTAGGAGACTCTCTGGCTTTCCTCTCAGCATGTCCTCAATCAAAATGTGTTTAGAGACCATGATCAGATTTAAGTTTCAATCCTTTCAGCTAGATAGTGTCAGTTGCAGCCTATGGAAATGAGGGAGCAAAGGAGAGGTAGGAAACTGTTATTAAGCACTTTTCTTAAACTACACACTGTCTTTTTATTCCATATAAAATCCATTTAAAGTAGATACTGTTTTTCTCTAGACCACCTCTATATCAAGAGAATTGACAGTCCTGAGCAGAAGGGAAAATATGAATTACTTGTCTTTCAAACAAGGCTGGTGAAGGAAAAAACAATTTCCTTTGACACCTACCTTGTATCAGTGTTGCCTCTATTTCATAAAAACAGAACAGTTTTTACCTGTTATATATTCCAACTCCTTTAATGTGAGGGTCTAGAGTTGTGAGATGATTTACTTATGATTGCAAATTCATGGAAAAGCACTGATGACTGAAGGTCTCCATTTCAAGGTCTTTCCCCTCAACCATAAATCTTGAGGCAATTTCTACTTGCAGAGGGACTTATTTAATTTACAGAGGAATTAAAAAAAATATTTACGTAATTTCATTTGTTGTTATTTTTTAATTTGACCAGAGACGGAGACAGAGTGACGGAAAGTGAAAAAGCAAGCTGCCAGGTCTGGGACTGGAACTGTGGTCAACCAGGTAAGAACCCAGCACCTTTAATCACCATGCCACCTAATGCCCCTTGCAGAGGACTATGTGTGAGATAGGTTAAGTCTGCCATTGTCATTTTAATGATTAAATCCAGGATTGGCATTAAATTAGCTAATGCTGTTACTTGGGAGAGACATACTACTGAAAGCAAGTACTTTAAAAAATATTTTCCCAACTACCCTGGGCTTCCATTCTCCCCACCCTCCCTACCAATTATTATTTTTTTTTGAGAGAGATTTTTGCTATATTACACATGCACTCGCCATAGAGACATATACAGAAAGCAAGAAATCCTCCCCGCCCCCAGGGTGGATGGCCACAATATAATCCCTTTTCTCCTTTTGGGATTTTGAGCACACATGGACACATGCCTGGCCTCAGTTTCAAGCCACTTGATCTGGGACTCGAACTGTGGTCCGCCGGCCATGTGGGAATCCAGTGATGTAACTGTTGTATCATCTAGTGGCCCCCCTCCCAATTTTAAGAGTATTAGATATTTATTGTAGAAAAATTTGGAAAATACAGAGAAACACAGGAAAAAATGACTTACAACTCATTACCCAGAGAAAATCAGTATAGCACCTTGAGATGTTACTTTATTTTTAATGTGTATATGTTTTACATGGGATCATATTGTACATATTGCCTTACTTTAACAATATATAGTAAATGCTTTCTTGAATATTGACATCAGTTTAACAACCTTTAAAACTGTATGTACATTCACCATGGTTTCTGAAATATACATTTCCAGGTAGACTTTCAAGTCAAAAGGCAATACTTAAGGCTTCTGGTATTGATTGCCAGGGATATTATGTACTCACATTTTACCAGCAGCATTAGTCCCAATTCTCCTGAATCTGTCAGCTTTATAGGAAGTGCTATCTCAACTCCTGCTTATAGATATATTTTAACTAGTGAGGTTGAACATTTATGTATTGTTCATTGGCACTTATTTTATGATTTGCCTACTTGTGTACCACTTTGCTACTGGAATTTCTTATGGGGAGACATTATAAAGTGGCTCCATAGTAGGGATCTGGGTCATATACCTTTATTTTTCATTTTTTATCCGCATAATCTGGGTTGTAGTGAGAAATAATGCATATATACAAAACTTATTAAGTACCTTCATTTTTAAAAAAGAATATTATTTTTAAAATTTGTTATAGAGCACATGCACTCACAAAAGGCGGCCACCAGGTCTGGGATTCAAACCACAGCTGACCATGTGAGAACTCAGCACTTTAACTACCATGTCAGCTGCTGGGCTCTCCATTTATTATTTATATATGTAAGAGCTCTTTGAGTATCTCCCTTTTGTAATTTGTTAATTCCTACCTAACGTACTACCCTTTTCAGTTTGGGTCTTTCTCTGGAAATAAGAGGAAAATGAGTAGCTCTTACCATGTATTTTGTTAATTTTAGTGTGTCAAATGATCCCATCTTTTCTTTTTTTTATAGTCTCTCTCCAAATATAGGCATTTAGCCTGCCTGCTGTTCTTACTGGTTTGCACATGCCCACTTATGTATGCCCCATTGGATCATTACATCTCTTTATCTTCATGAAAATTCTTCTATGCACAGGATTCTAGATTTCCAGATTTGTGGCATTATTCCTGCAACCTACTAGATCTTTTGAATCACATCTTGCTGTTGCTGATGAACCTGTACAACATTCTACTAAGCACAAGCCTAAGGATACCTTCTGCTGCACTCTCAGATGAAGTCTTAGAGGACTATGACTTCTACTTTCAGTTGTCACTTTCTTTTAGCATTAGCTCTTAACAAGTTTCACAGAAGATACTGTGAAAACCTGCTGACATAGACAAAACTGTGTGTGTGTGTGTGTGTCTGGAGAATAAGTCACAGACCTAGCAACTGTCAAGTATTTTTAAGACCTAAATCTGACAGTGTACTAAGAACTGATGATACTGCCTCAAAAGCAAGTGATAGGGAACCAGCAGTTAGCGTAATGGCTATGTCGCTGGACTCCCACAGTCGACCGCGGTTTGTGTCCCGGACCCAGTGGCTTAAAACTCACGCTGAGCGCGTGTGTGTGCGTGCCCAAGATCCCGAGAGGAGAATGGAGGAGAAGGGATTGCGGCGTGACCACATCCCCTGGGGGGTGATTTCTCGCTTTCTGTCTCTATGTCTCTCTCTGTCTGTCTGGCGAGCGCACGCGCCCTACAATGAAAATCTCTCTCTCAAAAAAAAAAAAAAAAAGCAAGTGATATGGCAGCTTCTGACCCACAGCGTTGGGATTAGGAGAAATCTGACAGCATCTCTGATACTATGAATCAAAGGAGTCTTTGTCTTAGATCAGGTGATTGAGAACTCCAACAGACTTAACATCTAGGCTGGGCTCTTTTTGTTACCCCCTACTCCCACCACTATCTCTATAAAGTTCAAACTTAGCCCACAGGTTGGGAAAGGAAACCATATTTCCCCTTTTCCCTGGGGTCACATTGATCAAAACAAAGCTGACTGTCCGGTGATCCAACAGCTCCAGTTTTGATCACTAACACATACTTCTCCTTAGTTCATATTTTGTTAAAGGTACTACCTAAGAGTCTTGGTTATACACGTACTTCTCCTATAGACATAACTCTACTTCAAAAGGAACTCAACAGAAATGCACCATATATTTCTCCCAACCTTTGTTCTCTCTACTGAGAACACACTCACTTGGCCTTCCAACTACTCTTCATCCTTGTCATTTTCTTCATTTCAGCCACATCAGGTGTTCCTCAAGGTCACACTGACTATATGTGTCACTGCCTGTTTGACTGCCTTGCCCATTAGACTGCAGATTATGTCGTGCTTTCTATGGTATCCCTAGTCCCTGGCACAAAGCAGGTACTCAGCTGTTGGATGAATGCTTTTTCCCCCCCCTTCTCATGCCTAGCTTACTTCTGGGCTGCCTTGGGCTCAACACATGATTGATGAAACTATTTCCCTACCTTTCTTGCTGACTTATCTGTTCTTAACTGGGTATGTGGTTTTTTGGGTTCCTGACATAGTTTCTCATTCTGTCCACACCATCCCCTAAACTTGGCATACTAATAATGAGATGCAGTAGCAGAGCCCAGGTTGCTATATCCCTTTCATGACATTCTCATATAAAATGAAGCATTAATGTTACATTTACCTTTTCTACTTCCTGCATCTTCCTAATGTTAAGAGTTGGAAATAGTGATTTTTGTCTTCTGCTCTGATTAAGTCACAGAAAAGCTTTCAAGGGACAATTTGTACTAGCATTGTGAAGTACTGCTTAAAAAGTTAAACTGACTTTAGTAGTAGTTTACCAATCTAGTGGTTTACCACCTTTATGAAGTCTTGATCCAAAGTAAATCCTGACTAGCAAAGAATCTGACTGAAGCATTAACAATATTCAATGTATTCACAACTTATTTTACAGTGTGGACACTCTGATGGCGCATGAGGACTGATCTATGCCTGAAAGCCTTCCCACATTCATTACATATGTAAGCTTCATCTCCAGAATGGATTCGCTGATGCTGAACAAGGGCTGAACTCCTTTTGAAGGTTTTGCCACATTCATTACACTGATAAGGTTCCTCTCCACTGTGAATTCTCTGATGTCTGATGAGGTTTGAACTCAAACTGAAAGCTTTTCCACATTCATTACATTCATAGGGTTTCTCTCCACTATGTATTCTCTGATGGGTAATCAGCTCTGAACTCTGTCTGAAAGCTTTTCCACATTCGTTACATTCATAGGGTCTCTCTCCTGTATGAATTCGCTGATGTCTAATAAGCTTTGAACTCTGGCTAAAGGTTTTCCCACATTCATTACATTCATAGGGTTTCTCGCCAGTGTGAATTCTTTGATGTATAATGAGATATGAACTTTGACTAAATGCTTTGCCACACTCGTTACATTTGCAAGATTTCTCACCAGTATGAATTTTCCGATGTCTAATGAGGGCTGAGCTCTGATTGAAGGCTTTCCCACATTCACTGCACTCATATGCTTTTTCACCACTATGAATTCTCTGATGAATAATAAGATATGACCTCAAACTGAAGGCCTTCCCACACTGGTTACACTTATAGGGCTTTTCTCCAGTATGGATTCTCTGATGTTGTGTTAGAGAAGAATGCTGCTTGAAGCTGTGCCCACATACATCACATCTATAAGGTCTCTCTTCTGTAGGAACTTTCTGACACATTATAGAGTTTGTACTTAGAATTAAGCATCTTTGAGGCTCATCATGGTGGTCTCTCATTCCTAGAGATGTATGTGTGAAGATCACATGATTAAAATTGCTCCCCTGAGAAGGGGATCTTCTTAATTTCTCCCCTGTATCACCTCCTTGCTGCCACTCCAAACTGCTTTCATGCTCACTAACTCCTCCAAATGAAAGTTCCTGAGGGAGTCCCTGTGATTTTTCTCCTGAAGTGACATCCTTTATTGCTGTTTCACTGTTCTCAGAATCTGAAATGATAAATAGCAAACACCAGATTTTACATTTCTCCACTCTCCATATTAAAATTATATGTGAGAAAATAGAAGCTTCTACCTACAAAGATGTTACTGTCCATGTGTATCTTTTCTTCAACTGGTCAGAACAGGGCCTCTCCTCTTCCCTAATGCTAAAGCCTACATCTGTATTTTGAATTTCATCCGTTCCTGCTTCCATTAAGACTCTTTTTTAGAGGTATTTAATTTATAATAATTACTATTTTAAAATTTGCTACAGCACACACGTGCATACC